CCGTGCACACACTAGCGCGCGGCGTCTCATTTGCACATTAATCGGTCTAACTAGCAATTACAAAATACACTGCAACATGATACATATTCGCAGACAATGCCTCGTCGATAGTTCATTATTGATTGGCACGCTTCGGATTGATCGAACGCATTTGTCATAAGGGATTAATTAGATTAAATTGTAACTTGTAAATTGTATCATATAAGAGAGAATTAGTAACTTAAATGAAAAAATTACTCTTGAAGAACTTATCCGATTATCCACTCTCATGTAAGTTATTAAAAACTTTGTTTCCGAATGATTTTAATTTCCATGATTTTAATTTCCAATTTTTGCAGATTGTGATAATGAAATGTAATGATCTTAATCTGAATTTTTTAAGATTCTATCAGTACGGTGAAATAAGTTTATGGTAAAGTATAAATTCTTTACTGTCGTGAAAAATTCATTTTTCTGATTTTATTACACTATTCACTTTGCAATATTTTCAAGCACTGCCACCACACGGAATAAACGATTTTGCTGAGGTATTTAAAATTTAACTAGATACATACAGATCTGAAAAGAATTTTATTGGATCATCAAAATAATTATGTAAGGACGCTCAAACGATTGATTTTTAGAATATCAAAATTCATCATTTTGCTGTATTCTCACGTTTCTTTTACATAATTATTTTAATAGTCCAACATAATTATTGTCTTCTTCTCTCTGATCTGTATCTAGCTAAACTTTTAGATATTTTAGCGAAACCGTTTTTGCCACATTATATATTTGCACTGATCAGAAACTCTTGTCACAGGCTTTTTTAAATCCTTTCTTCGTCTTCTTTTGTAGTAAGCGGAAGATGAAGAACTAAGACATTTTGAACAATGACGAATACGGTCTATTGCGTTAATATTGCCATTGTCTGCAGACGATGGATGTGATGCAAAAGCCCTTGACGATCTTCGACGTGTGTGAATAGGTCTCCCAGAACAGCGGAAGTGCTTTGTGGCGTCAATTATTCCACTTTGGCATTAGGACCATGCGTATACTCTCCCTTCCTTTTGTGAGAAAAAAAGAAAATTCTACAGGAAACAAAGCAGATCTTAACGTACATGTTTTGCTTAGAGAACAAAACTTCATCTCTCTCTCTGATTATTTAGAAATACTCATTGCATTGTTGTATAATTGTATTTAAAACATATAATAGAATTAAATAGAAACACATAATAGATAAAAGTAATTTATTCTTGATTCTAAATAAGCAATATAAAGGAAAGCAATATAAAGGAAATTGAGAATCAAAAACAAGCAATGTAAATGTGATTTATTTACTTATATAAAAGAAAAGAGAAATGATGTAGTACGTTTTGATTATATTAAATCTTCATTATTCAAAGAATAAAGAGTAAAAATGTTGTGAAAGAAAAATATAATTTATTAGTTATTTAATTGAACAGGACATATAGAAAGAGAATGAAAGTATATAAATCTTATATTATACTTAATAATTCAAATAGAATTCCAATATAAAACAGATTAGTCGATATATTTACGTTTATAAATATGAAAACATGTTGTGAAAAATTCTAGAGAGTTGATAAGTAAATTTTATTCTCGTATCTCTCCCTTATCTCTCTCGTATACATATATCTATTGTGAATGTCGCAATCATTATCTAATGTTATTAAATTATGTCAACTGATTTTTTTATATATCATATAAACAAGTTCAATGTTTTTACTCCTCAAAATTATCACGTATACCGTTTTGGTCAAAAGGCCATTCTATTTTTGATGCTTTGCCATAACTATCCTACTTGATTACTACGAAGTTTAACAGTCTGGCGATTAATTACGCGATCGTCTTTTAAGCAACTTTGTTGTCGTTCGTCGCGATTTGAAACCGCTCTGTTCAAGAAGTATACCCTCCAAGACGTTGTGGCAGTCACTAGTGTCCCTAAGGGGTGCTTAATGCCGCTGTAATCGGCCGCTTCTACCTTACGCCTGCAAAACTGCCCTACCGCACGTTATCGGCCATTATTCCCCACGGGGTTCCTTGGAATCGTCGCTTGACAGCATTCAGCCGCACACGACGCACTTTCTTTCCGCCACATTTCACCCTCGCCACCGTTGCCGCTTTGTAGCTTCCCGAGATATACGGGAGTCTTACATTATGCACCATAGGGTGGGCGTTGACGCGAGTACGGCGACATGGGTTGTTTATGACTGTGCGTATGGGAGATTTTCTTTCCCTTGGTGTTTTAAATCGTTTTTTTCCTGAAGTAGATTTTGAAGCTATTTCGAAGCTAACTTCGTTACATCAGTAACACAAATATTTAAGCACGAGTAACGTGTTATTCAAATCTTTAAATGTTATTCAAATCATGAAAAATAATTTTTCAAAGTCGTTTTAAATTTTTTTTCTGATATGCGAAGAACTAAATTAATTATTGCAAACAATTTTCTTTAGAATTGTCATAATATTTTATTAGTATTTATTAAATGTAATGTAAATATATTAATTTTTGACTGTATAAAAATTTTTTAAATAAAATATTTTATTTTCAACGTAAATTATAACTAGAATTTTCTTACGATATCTGCGATTTTCGTATTTAGTTTATCTAATGACTTGTGTAGTTCTTACGTTTGTAGCGATTGTTCTTGTGCAGAAAAGTATTTCTTGACTTAAGAGAATAGTGGCTGTATTATGTACGAAGGGCGTTACAAATAAGAAAGTAGTAGATGGTCGATAAGTGCAGGTTGAAAGGGCACATTCAGAGAACGGTCTTTTAAAAGAACTCCTTCTTCCTCTTAAAACTTTAACAACGCGATAAAGATAAGAGTTAAGAACAAGACGAACATATCATTCCCAAATCACGGGTCTAGATTACGTTTTGTTCAGTTATAATTTCGTTATTTGTAAAATTACATATATTTAATTATAAGTGAAAATTAGACCGATAAAAATAAATCAAATAAGAAAAAGAATCCTATTTTTGGTAAGCGGATCTTGATGCTTAATAATATTCAGATTCAATATAACTTTCTAGATTTAAATTCTGGATGAAGTGAAATTTTTTACAATTCTTTGCAGTATTTTAATGTGCTTATTAACATCATTATTTAATTGACGATCAATATAATTTGTAATGTTATTTTTAGTTTCAGTTTAGGATTGCGTTTCAAGTCTAACAAATCGAATCAGCGCGCAATTTATAAAACCGAAAAATATATTTCCAAATTTGTATATGAATATTATTAAACAGCATGATCTTCTTTATTTGAAAATAGGATTCTTTCTTTTATTAAATTATTTGTTTTTATTTTCAAGATAATTTTTTCCAGTAGTATAATAAATGATTACTTATCATTGAAGATAAATTTATTTTATTTGTACGAATAAAAATAAATAATTAAAGAAAAAACTAAGAATTTTAATCCTTAATTTACATAAAGTTTCATCATTCTATTAAAGTCTGTTAAATACTGATTTATTTTTCTTACAGATTTTACTATATTGTATGGAACGTCGATATATTTATCTGTTATATCTGTTATATCGTGTTTATTTTTTCGTCAATATTTTATAATTATAGTTATTGCAATATTGATTTCGTAACCATGTCTGGTATGAGTAATCAGTTTAGATAAATGTTAACATCAATAAATCTTGTTTTCATTTTTTACCGATCGCATTTGTTGTAGCGTTTCCTGCTTCGCGGTAATTGAATTTCAAAATATTGCGATGGAATATCTGCTAAATTATGTAGGGGAGGTTATTCGAGTCGAATATTGACTTTTATGATGGCATGAGTTATATTGTTGTTTATGTCAACGAAAAAGTTAACTAGAAAATTGAGAGGAGCAAATTAAAACTAAGAGAAGAAAGACATTTAGTACATGGAAAGAACGTGGTTTTTCTGAAGTATCTACAAATTTAGCTAGACATAGATATGTAAATAGATTTTGTTTAAATTAGTATCTATCAAAATTATTTTGTAAAATATTTGACTGGTTTGCTAGAATGTTAAAACATTTGGCAGCTTTGTCATTAACGTTGAAGCGTTCTACATAAATTACTTTAATCAAACAAAATTATTTTCTGATCTGTACCTAATAATTAAATTTTAAGATATTTGAGAGAAACCAAAAATTGTATACAAAAATTTTATTTTAGAATTGCTCTTGTTATAGAATTCATAATCGTGAAATATGTAGTAAATTTTAATAAAACAAAATTGTGATTCTCGTTGAATCGTGTATATCGTGTAATGGATCGATGGTCTCGGTTCCACCCTTTCGCCGATAAGAGGGTTGCTGGGAAACCTCGCATTCCTGGTCGGTATAAACGCGGATAACATAGGAAACTTCATACGTTTTACTGGAAAAGCGGAAAATTGGGATAACGTATCTAGGGTTGATAATGCGTTATGCAAACGTGGTAACATTGATTTGTATCATATGCAAGTAATTCGCAGATTTATATGTCCATTTTTTCCAATGTAAATTACTTCAATCTCGATATTTAATGTACTTTTTCCAATTCTTGTAACTAGAAAAAGATGAGAAGTAAGTTAAATTGAGATTAAAGTTAATTTACATAGGTAAAACCGAATATAATTAACGTTTTTTGACAATCGCAATATATACTCTTTTTATATCTTCTTGATTATAAGTATAAAGCAATTTCAATTTATTGTATTTTTTTGGAAAAAAAAATTAACAAAATATTACAATGAATATTATCTTTCTTTATAAATTATATTTAATTTTTTTTAGATATAGACGTTTACATTTGTGAGGATATTTTATATTCGTAGACAAGACTATATTATAAATTTTGATATCATAATTTTATACAAATAATATTAAAGATTTTATATGCTTCATATTTTTGCCGTATAACTTCACAAACTTTATCCTATCAAGAATTTAATTTATTTTGTGTAGGCACATGAAAAAGCGTTGTAGCGTAAATAATATATAAGATCATTTTTTTTCTTTTTACAGCGAAAAAGCAAAATGGTGCTGCTCTACGAACAAACAGTTTGGGTTCGGGTGCAAGAACGCCGCCCTTGGAAAGAAAAAGTAAATTTTCTGCCCTCGGTAGACTCTTCAAACCTTGGAAATGGAAGCGGAAAAAGAAATCGGATAAATTTGAGGCCGCTTCTCTGTGTAAGTAAATGATGCGATGTAAAAATAGTTCAATTTAAACGCGACATGTATTTTTATTTTTAATAATAGAAGAAACTTAATGGATTTTATGCTATATGTTATTTTTGTAATTGTCGTTGCTTTGTCACGAAAAATCTTTGCATTTTAAAATGATGAATGTTATTAAATTTAATATACGTTCAATTAAAATGTTTGCATTTTGCACGAACAAATGATATTTAATTTCTACTTTTTAAATTATTATGCCCGAAGTCGTTTTAAACATTTATCAACAATTTGCAACAACATTGTAATGCGAAAGTATTTAAATAGCGTTGCAGATAACAGAGCGAACAGCGTAATGACATTCGTGTACGTTTTTTTTGCCTTTGTTAATAGCGCTCGAGAGAAAAATCTCAGTACGTGCCAGCAGAGATGAATTGGTGCAGAAAGGGATATTGCTGCCCGTGATACGGTCAACATCGTTTCCGGAAAACGGTCAGTATGCATTTTCTTATTCTTTTAACTTTTTTTCTATTTTTATTCTATTTTTTGCTTGTTCTTCGATACCACGATTTTTTATTAATAATTATTTCGTTGTTTGTTTGGTCGTTTTGCATTTTATGTAACAACTTTATCTTTCAAATCTACTATGAGTTCAATTATATTGTCAGTTTTCAATTATTGTCTTTCTCGGTGCTCCTCGTTATGTATGTTGAAATTTGCACGCCAGACAGATATTTCCGAGTCCGTTTACCTGTCGCGCCGAAAGTGGTGTCCACCCCTTTGGCAGATTGCACAGGAAACGAGAACCAGAGTTGCTAGGGTGTCGACAACTTGCCATCCAATGACGAAGGTCGTAATTGCGTTTTACAGTTCATGTGGCAGACGCGAACTCAATTTCCTCAGTAACTAGAAGTACCTAGAAGTACCTCGCCAAAATGACGCTATTTATTGTCCAAGCTGATTTATGTTCAATGTTTCTTGAAGTATCTTTTATCATTTGCCATATCTGTAAAACAGACAGCAACGTATATTCTCTGATATTATCACGATGTGATATCACTGTAATCCTTCTTACCGACGAACTACAAAGCTCTCAGAATGGTTTCACATTTTGTTCGAACGTGGAGTTAGTTGGTCTTTCCGTTCATTCGATATAGATACTAATAAACAATTTTTTTTTTCAACTTATAACACAATTAACATAAAGTTCCAAGAAATGTTCTCGATATTGATACAAAATTAGCAATAAAATCGTAAGTGTATTGAGAAAGAAATGTTCAGTATTTGTGATTATAATTTTGGTAAAATAGAAGATACATAGTTAGAATCGAAAACGACTATAAATTATAATAATCATTTTTAATGTCAACTGTATATATATTTTTTAATACTTATAATTATAAATATGTACATAATTATAATACTTGGTTCAACAATCAAATTTTCTTCAGTATCATATTTCATATTTTATTCCGAAGATTTTTTTACGTTGAATACGATGTCATTGGTAGAATTTGTATAGTACGTCCGAATTTTGCAATGGGTAACTTGGTGTGAAATGAATAAGAAATAACGTTTTTGATTATTTTTAAAACTTTTTTTTAAAACAAAATGAAAACTTGTTTTTAAATAAAATCTATAGTATCTAAAACTGTAATTTTTCAAATAAATTTTAGTTAATGATAATGACTTATTTTTAAAAGTATAGTTGTTTGAATTTTAGACATTCAATATAATAATTATGCAGTTAAATAAAAAATCACTTTTTCTCTTTAAAGTGCCACAGTATATACCTCAAAGATTTTTTTGCACTGAATGCAATACTGTCATCAAAATTTGTGTAACGTCAGGACTTTTAGTAAATAGAATAGTAAATTTTTGGTACATTTTACTCCAAATCTCTTTAATTGATGCACATCAATAAGGTTATTATTATTAATTTACTAAAAATTTGTTGCGCTGCACAAATTCTGATGATGGAATCGTATTTAGCACGAAAAAATCTTTGAGGGGCACTCTGAAAAGGCACTTTGGAGAGGAAAAAAGTGACTCTTTGTCGAATAGTGTGATTATTGTTACTAACATTATAATATCATTATACCATAATAATTATAAAAATGAAACCTCTAACCATAATTATTTTACCATGTTATTATAGTCACGAATACCAAACACTTTTATCTCAATATAGCTTCGCTGAAAAAACATAAACTTTATGTTTATCAAGAAATCTATAACCGAGAGAATACTTGCATTTCCAAGATATGTGCAGGACAAATGCGTTGAGCTAATTAACGGTGAGATAGTAGATTTCAAAATACCTATTTAGTTTCTCTTGTCGCAAGGACTTTTCAGGTTAGGTTAGGTTATTATTAGATTATTATAATAATTATTAGGTGTTGGAATTAATTCGTAGCGTTTTTTAATGAAAGAATGTTATTTATTTCACATGAGCATTAAAAAATACATTAATGAAATCAATACTTAAAATAACAATAATTAGCCTGTATCTCTCGTCAAGAAAATTCTGGGACTCTCATGATTTCCAAAACTATTTCGTGAGCTCCGTCATCAGTCATAGTCTCGTCCAAACAGTCAGAACTTTTCGAGACAAGTTTTGAGAAAGCGTGGCTCTTCTACATCCCACCTTTTGTAATTAAAGTATTCCGCTCACAGTTTCGTCAGATTATCGCAGGAAGTTGTGGAACAAACTTGGTTGGGGATAGTCGACGACAATGACATAAGGCTATTTATCAACGTACGTCATCCCGTCGGTTACCACGTGAGAGAGAGAGAGAGAGAGAGAGAGAGAGAGAGAGAGAGATATGTTTATTTAAATTAATTGCAAAATCGATGGAGATCCGGGAAATACGAGGTGACATGAATAGCAGAAAATATGGAGAAATATCGCGGAGAGTGATTATCGAAAGAAAAATACCGATAGCAATATCCGATATAATATAATATTAGATATAATATTAGATTAAAAAAAGCTTAATGTCATTATCCAGTTTACGTCTAAGTTGAATATCAATGCTTTAAAAAGTTGCTACCGAAAAGATCTCTTTTTGCAACCATGTTTTGTATGCAGTATAAAAAAATATTTGCTATGATTAATATATTTTTGCGTTACGAAACTCGTAAAAAATATACAGTTTTTTTATTCATAGTGCTACTCCATTGTTTTTATATTTTTTTATGATATTTTTAATATTTTTGTGATATTTTTAAATAGTTTTAAAACAATTTTATTTTAATGTAAATAATTTTTAAGATTTTTAAATATTTGTCATATTTAAATATTTATAAATTCATTATATATCTTTATATGTATATTTTTTATATACGAGCACTAAACTACTATATACATATTATTCTTTGTTAAAATTTAGATCAATGAAGCGCTAATTTTAAGGTTTTAATGATAGATTACCGCATTTATTACTACATTTCCAAAATTTATTTACACGTCGCATTCATTTTCGCGGTGCATCAAATTAACGTGACGCTACTGATGCCCATAATGCATTGCCGACTGTGCAGAGTCATTGTTGCGCTCTGTGATTCTTTGTTCTGAGTTCTAATATGATTGAGAGAAACTCCAACTATAATGTATTGAAAATACTCGACCTTTGAAATTCCACTCGAGTCGATGTCCAGATCCTTCTTACGTAAAATTGAACTTAATCCATAAATCATAATCTATAAATTCGATCCATTTATCTTTCATGATACTAGGATACTACCGTCTCTCTTTTTTAATCTACTTTAATTTTAATTAACGTTCAGTAGTGCAAAGTTTTTGTCGAAGTGACATACATCATGTGTGTGTGTGTGTGTGTGTGTGTGTTACATTGTATTTGAATTAACAAAAAGGCCTAATACCTGTCTCAGACTTAAGATTAAAATTGAGATTGGATTGGAATTTGATTAATTAAAACAAGAGTGACTGAATCAATTAAATATGAAGAAGCGTTACTTTCGGTCAAAGATATTAGACTAATACGTACATATATGTATATGTATTTTAAATAAATTTATCTCAGAAATTACTGCTGATTTTATTTTTGGTCTTTCAATACAATCAGTCTGAAATATTAATAATTCCCAAATTTAATTATAGATATATCGTTGATTTGATATTGTTAGCATCTTAAAAAAATGTAAAGAATTTATTGTAAAAAAATATAATAAGAATTTTATTCTTTATCATAAAAATTTTTTATTGAACTATTACTTCATCCGTACAATACACATTCTGTAGTCCCTATTTGGTTAAATTCTCTCATATAGAAAAATTCGGAGCAGCCTGTTACAACAGATGTTACAACAAATAACTCATATTACGTAGCATTGCATAAATTTAGACATAAATTTAGTGCTTTTTTGTTACTAATATATACTTTGTTTACCTATGTACCTGCAGAAATCAAATGCTTTGCATTAAAATAGCTGTCGTAAAAATTTCAAAATAAAATAAGTCCTATAATACATACAAAATATTATTTTTATTTATATTTCAAAATTGCAATCTTAATTTTAAGTTTTCGATTTTAAATTAAAAATGTATAGGTATGTATAAATGCAATTTTTGATTATATAAATAATAAATACCAAATTATTTGATATTATAAAATATTTTATTTTTTAAAGATATTATTTATTAAAACGATTTTTCAATTAAATGCTCTCAAAAGATTTTATTTTCAAACTTATTTATTATTATTTAATATACGAATATTTAATATATATAGAGAAATAAATTTAAAATATAATTTAAAGCATATATGATACAGCTACGAGAATAAATTATATTAAACAAATTAATTATTGTGCAAATTTTAAAAGCTTTTGAATCTACTGCTTTTAAAATATAACATTTTTGTATTTATAAATCACTGTTTATAGATCGGAATAATAAAAGTGCGACGGTAGCGTTGCACACAAAAGGAAAAAAATCTTTTTGGATTTGTAAAATATCTATTTTTTGGATTTATAAAATATATGTTAGTAGATTCAACACTTATGTATGTAGAATTACAAATGTATCGATGCTATTAGGCAAGAATTCAAATTTTGTATCAATATTTTTCAATATTATAATGACATCTCAATTTCCGACCTTTCTCGAACATTTTTTCACGGTGTACATATTATGTCAGATTTAGTCTTACACGCTCTAAAATATTGATAATACTGTGCGAACATAATAATAAATCAGACTCTCAAGTATTTTGGATATGGAAATATTGTAGTAGAACAAATTATAAGATAAAAGTAATGAGTGTGGTTATTATGTGTTTCTAATATTCTAAGAGCAAAAATACATTTATTTCATATCCACATTAACGAAGACTAAATTGACGAAGTTGACCGAAACAGCTTAATGCGATAATATTTTATAGAAAAGACAAGATACTCTCTGGAAATAAATTTTGTAAATTTTGTGGTTTGATAATTTTCAGTGGATATAACGAACCTAATTTCGAACGTCTAATTTAATACGAGAGCATCTACTAGTAGTAAATCATTTAGAAAATACAATAAACATATAGCTGTACATACATATATATGAAATTAGATACTTCAATTCATAAGATGAAATGCAGGTTTTACTCTAAAATGTTTAACATATTTAGATCACATAACGGATCATTTGCATCGACATAGCATAAATGCAAAAACCGTAAATATTATACAAAATAATATAATTAGAACATTAAATCGATCATTGATTGAAGGAAATAACATGCCTTCAACTTCTCATCAGACTGGCACATATTTGTAAGCGGAAAAATTCGAAAATGACAATAGTAAATGTTAAGACTATTTATATGTTTTACTTTTTTTCAATTATTAATGTAAAGAAATTAGATATTTAATATTTGTTTATCATAAGAAAAAGTTTTGTCCGATATTTCAAACGTGTTTTATGAATCTTATTAAATAAGTGAGTTAAATAACCAAATTTATAGGTCATTTCTAAGCAGAATCGTAAGACTCGTGACTTATTCTCGTAAAACTCGTAAGAACTTAAAACCAGTATTCTAATTTTATGCGTATGTATCGTAAGATTATTCGTAAATATTTACGATTTCTTGTAAATTTTGTGGCTAATAAAAAGCTGTCTGTAAAAATATCGTATAAAGCATAAACACTTCAAAATTCTTATAAATCTTACGAGAATATATTACGAACCTTACAATTTTGTTTAGAATTTAGGCATTAGTTTATATTAAGATCGGAAAATTTGCATTTATTCGTATATTTTAATATTGATAATTAATGCAAATTTTCATATTCGAGTAACAAGTTCATTATTTTGAACTATAAGTAGTATTCGAATCTAAGCATTCCATTCTTAAGGCATTTATAGAATAAGAATCTCTTTAGTTTAGTATTACACTGTTTATATGTATACTGATCTGAAAATAATTTCATTGCATTATTAAAATAATTAAATAAGATGCTCAAATTGGTTGTTAGAATGTCAAAACTTTTCATAGTATTGCTCATCGTACTTCATATTCCTACGTAATTATTTTGATGATTTAACAAAGTTATTTTGAAATTTGTATCTAGTTAAATTTTTAGATACTTTCAGCAAATTTCTTTCCGTGCAGTTGATACTGATACACAAAACTTACAGAATTTTTAAAAGTTTATGTCCGCTTATCCTAGCTTATACTATTGCAGATTGGATTTCCTAATGATCACTGAAATGACCTTCCTTACTTGTATGTAAAATTTACATATCAATAATGTTTTAGGATTAATCTTTAATCTAATGCGGACATAATATCTTCTTGGTTTTTTTAATCACGCGCATGCAATGCTATGCAAATTTTTCATAACTACCTTGGAAATTGGCTCACCGCGGGTGTGTTTCCGAATTAATCCTGGTGCTAGTATCCTTAAAAACAACGTGCACTCTAAGGACGCCGCGAGATTTAGGCGAATTAATATTCAAGACCGGATCGCGCTTCTCATTGCAGAAACGATAAGCGAGTCGGCGACGGACGCACAAAAACCACCGTCACCGCAGCAAGCGCCTCAGCAACAGCAGCAACAACCGTCGCAGCAACAACCTCCTGGCGGTACCGTGATTGGTGGTACTGGGGGTGGTGACGGCACCCCCGCGGCAACACCCACGTCCGCTGGTAACGTGCAGCAATCCCAGCAAGCGATACCCTCGGCCACACCGACCCCGACGACTGCCAACCCCCATTCTACTGCAGGAGTCCCTAGCAGCAATCAACCATCGCCCCATCCCTCGCCTCTCTACCCCGTATTACCGCAGCAGGCCGGCCAGCCCAATGGCAGCACGCAAGGTAAGTCAGGGTTGCAAGTTTCCTTCTTGTGTTTAGTCGTCTTTTGTGTTGCACGACTGAACACGAGTTTGTATGATTCTGTACCGGCGATTGTTATGGCAGGATGAGAATTTACGCACGGCTGCTTAAAAAATTTGAACAAGAATAATATGAAGCCAGCTGATTACTTTCTATCGAATTTTGAGTCTCGTATTTTTATTGTGAGAACTAGAATCGTATTTGCTTTTCGTAAGAGATATAAATCGATAAGTGACAAGAATATCGTTCCAATATAAGCTTTTGTTTTTCTCTCTTCCCGATGGACGGGAATACATAATTTGCTTGATAAAAATGAGAAATGCTAAGAATAAGACGTCGTTCTGAGGATATATACAAGGAGACTATATACGAGATGACGTAAACGGTATTCGATTGTGTGCTATTTGAGAAGGTAGATTCTATCGCGCGGTAGACAAGCCAATTTGAGTAGATACACGTGGGAATTGCTGTGCATCGATATTGCATTCGCACTCAGGAGGGCAAATAAATCATTCTATTTCCGTTTCATCTCGTTTTTGTTATGTAAGAGGGATGAAATATTTTGATCCTTGTGGTTTACATACATATTTTCGTAATAGTAGTTGTAAAATGTAATCTAATTTATGTCTATAACTTATATCGGCAGATGTCAATCTCAACTTGCATCAATTGTTCTGTGAACAATTAATGGTATATGGAAATATTTGTTAGATAAATTCTGTTCTTTCTTTTTGTAAGTTTTTTCGGATATTTTATTTTATTTTGGACTTTTAACATAATTTCCTTGCGTTATCGATTACTTATTTTGTAATGTGCATTTTTCTAATATATAAAGTTTTTTCTTTATTGTGCATCTTTAATACTTTTAGTTAATTATAGATAATATATTATAGATGGCGAGAAAGAAATATTACCCTCCTTTTAAAAAGCTTTATAGATTGTCGCATAATGAGTACTTATCGCACTGAGCGCCTAAAATGTGCTCACACAATGATATATGCATAAGCGACCTAATTACGGAACGTCATGTACTGAGGTAACATTAATGAACTATCAAGTATAATCGTGGTGCATTGAATATGTGGTATGTCGAATAAATTTCTTTCCTTAGTCTTTTAGGTATTGATTAGAATAAATTCAAAATATTAATATTAAGAAAATAATAATATGCTTATAAGAATTTTTTGTTTATTTTTTTACATAATAGTTGAACGTAAAAATCTTAAAAGAGAACCATTTAAAACAAAACTGTAAACTCATAAATTACGATTTATTTTACTTTGAAAATTAAGCAACATATATAGCTTTTTAAAAAAAAGTTACACGATGGATGCATTAACGATTTTTTTACTGTTTAATTGTGTTTTAGAATTTAGTTATTTTTACAAATTTGAGAATTATTATTAAATTTTACACAATAAGAAGTATAGATCGTGCCCTGCATTTTACACATTTTCACGTATCGATGTATTTTTAAAATAAATTAGGTGACACGCTGTGGTATAAATCATGATGTACGACCGTGCTAAAATAGACAAAATCAATTTCAATCGGTAACACGATAATTCTCGTATCTCTTAATCTGTTATTATTGTAATTCTTAATCTATTATTGACTTTGGCTTGCAATACAAAACTGCTCATTGCTTCGAATCTTTTTAAAAATTCAATAAATGACATTTGGAATAGTGACATTTGGAATTTAACATCTAACATTACTCTCTAAATCTGAATCAGTGGATAGTCATCAATTACCCAGTGGCATACTTGGCACTGGATAATCAAAGAAATTCAATTAAAAAAGGAAAAATGTTGAGCATTATATAATTAAAATACTAATTATATAATATAAATTTAGAGAGTATCGAATATTGAGAATTTTTCTTAAATTAGTGATATTTGTGTTTAAAATTTTGAATTATATATTACAGTTTTATACGCGTATTATACATAAGTTAATAAAAATATAGAAAATTATTAAACAATACTTACCATGATTATTTTTACTTATAATAACTTCTATATGTGTAATAAGAATAACATTTGTTAGATAAATGTTACATATACATTCTTTTTGTGCATGTATTCTATATTTTAATATAAAAAATATGTAAATATATAAACAAGAGGATGAAAAATCAGTTGTTGCAAGCAATTCAATTTCGTGTAACGTCATGTATAAGTAGCTGATATATTATTTAAACAAGATTATCAGATTTCTTCGTTGATTTAAACTGAAACCATAAAAGGTACTTTATTATCCGCATTAGTAATGATATTACAAAGTTCCTTCAGTTATTTTTAATCGTAGACCTTGCAGAAGACTAAACTTTCAATGTTTCTTAGGCTCTGACACAGCCAATGCAACAAAATTGGGAAAATAAGCAGAAATTTAATGTTTTTCTATTGCTAATTTATTGCTTTATTTGCAATTGCATTGCTCAAGCCGATTTGACAAAAATAATGGCTGTGCCAATTTAAATTTATAGATAGCGTACCTGGAAAAAATTAAAACGTAAAAACAAAATATACTTCTTTTGTATTATTTTATTGCTAATTAATAATTGCTTTATTGTAAAATTGATTGCACTATTTTTTATTCAGGAAAATCATCTCTTAACTATCATACTAACACAACATCATAAAATATCGATTTTAAAATTTAACAACATCTTATTTTTAAATTTATTATTTAATATACGACGAACATTTAATATATATTGAGAAATCAATTTAAAAAGTAATTTAAAGCATATAAATAAAGCATGATACAATTACGGGAATAAATTATACAAAAAAAAAACAAATTAATTGTTATGAAAATTTTAAAAGTGCTTTTTGATTAATTTAAGATTTGTGAACGAAAAATTTACGGTACATATGGAAGTCTTTGCTACTGATTGTTTGACATGTTTGAACCACATAAGATGGTGATGTATTTGGCTGAACATGGCATAAATGATAAAATTTTTTTAATACTGAAAATAATACAATTATAAGAATAAATCAATCAATAACGGAAGAAAATAAATGGGGCTTCAACTTCCTAGACTGATACATATTTGGAGACGGAAAAACAATAGTAAATATACTAAATAAAATTATTTTTATTTTATCTCCCTTCAATTGTTCATACACTTATGAAAAAATTAAATGTTTATTGCTTGTTTATCATAAAAATTGTAAATGTTTAGTTTGATATTTGCAATGTATGCTTTATATATGTTATAAATTATTGAGTTAAATAATTCCTTTTGGTCTGTACGGTTGAATAATTAATACTTTTTCATGTATTTAAATATTGCTGATGATTAATAGACATTTTAATATTCGAATAATTAGCCATTTTCAGCTTTAAATTTTGTTTGAACCTAAATATCGAATTTTTAAATATTTGAATATAAGTATCCTTAGTTTGGAACAATTATAAAATTCATTATCAAATTAAATTTAAAATTTTGACTTCTAAGCAGACTCGTAAGACTCGTAACTTGTTCACGTAAAACTTGTAAAAACTTATAACTGTTATTGTAATTTTATGCGCATATATCGTTAAATGTACGATCCTTCTTATAAGTATCTACGATTTCTCATAAATCTTACGGCTAACAAGAAGTTATCTGTAAAGATATTGCATAAAATTATAAGAACTTGTAAGTTCTTACAAATCTTATGAGAACATATATGTTACGAGAATATATATTACGAGCTTTATAATTATGCTTAGGAACCACCCGTTAGTCATACAATCATTGTACAAAATTTAATCATTGTACACGAAGTAATATAAAGATATGGTGCACTGGCGGTGTAACTTTATTGTTCTCCGAATGTGTAATGTAATGCTCACTAGAGGAGTATGATAATAATTTTATGCTTCTTTTCGCGCGACGATGTTTTTATTCGACGCAGGAGAACCGTAGGAAAATACATTTTTGTACCTCTTATATCCAAGTTTTCTATCTTTTTCTCTATGAGTACCGCTCCGGCGTGATACAGGGCACTATCTGCCGTGACTTACGTACTTCAAAGGCAAGTGCGAAACCATGCTTTCAAAGATATTTTGCTGCAGCGGGTGTAATATTTCAGTGATACCGGTGCGGATGTATCGGTCGCATTTTTCTCGCGAGCGAAAAATCAGCTACGTCGGGCCGTAGCCAAGGCAACATATTTGCAAACGCGTTAAGAGCGATGCAATAAACCTTTAACACCTGTTACCAATGGCAGGTTGTTCCATGATCAAAATTAAGAGCCAAGTGTCTCGACGGATCGTTAATTTGAGGGCGACAACGAGAAGAGAGTGTGAAATGTCACGAAACGGCGTGAAAGCAATGTCAGCTTGTTACTTCATTCCAGTTCAGATCTTAATCAATTTTAATTTTAGCAATTCACTCCCTTTTTTTAGAAATCGACTTTTTTCTTGATAAGATATTTGAACTTATCATATATACATACATTATACACCTTAAATTAATTATCTGCGTAATTATATCAATACTAATAAAAAGTATTTTATTACAAAATTGCTTTTCTGTTTTCGTATATATTTGTAATTTTTTATATATTAATTATATAATAGTCAATGAATTAAACGTATGTAGAGAATTACTAAAATTAGAACTAATTATTAATAGCGAGACCAGTCTTTGATAATCCGTTATGTCTAAACTTTTCCATTAAATTCTTCACTTGGTAACTTATTAAATTGTCAAAGCCTATATTCTCAAAGGACCAGGATTAGAGGCCATAATATATTCGTGTATCAAGTGCGCAGAATAATGTATCGAGAAATTTATTGAAGAACCTGAATAATGACAGATCTCCGTAGAATTAATGTCTGACGCGTTCGGTCCCACGTCTCATGTCAAATTAGCGTTGTCCAAGCAGTTTTCTTGGATTAGTCCCGCGCGTGTTAGTTCGTGTAAATATTATCGATCGAAGGTTATCCTCGTAGTGCGAATTGTGAGAAAGGTAAATCCGCAA